TAGCAGCGAGTTGTTTATGCGGCTCACATTTATCCGCCAACTTGACCCTTACGAGACTTCCTTGCGTTTTGCACCGCCGTGAGCATAAAGAAAAACAGCCAATCAATCATAATCACGGACAGATCTGTGATGGGGTTTCCTTTTAATACTGCATTGCTCAACGTGGGTATAATTCGGAACTATAAACCCAGTTGTGAAATTCGATTCGTCCGATACTCCCATCAAGTGTAGAGTCGATATCTTTCAAAAGCACGTCCGTGATGGCATTAGTAGATGAGCGACAGTTACACGATCATCGGTCGAGTGATAGAGAACGGCATGCGATAGGCATTACCGACGATGGCAACTGAAATAAAAAAGAATCTTACTAAGCGGTTGCGTTAATAATCTCAAGGCCAAGTGCGAGATGGTGATGGAATAGTTTTTATACGAAATTCTCTGTCAAGATACAATTGCTGACATGCGGTTGTTCGGCTAACACAACACCATCCCTCAAGGGGTATTCATCGACATCTTTGGACGATTAAGCTCATAAGAGCTACCGGCAGGCTTGGGTTTGCACCCGCAGACGTTGCAACAGTTAAGGCACCCCTTGATGGACCTTTCCTCATATCCCCTAGCTCCAGGCAATTACATCTCTCAACTACCGGATGGATTGATGTTCTGGAAACCTCTTGACAAGCGAGTATGCGTCAGAACGTAGATCCTGCAAGCAAAAGAAACAAGATCACGCCAGAAATCAGATCAGAATGATAACTTGGCGGCTCCTGCTACAAGTTTGAACAGGTTTCCAAGCATTCCGACTCCCTTTTTTGTGGTTTTACGATCATCCTAAGCCACTGTAGTTGGCCTCTAGACTTTTACCGAGTCTCAAGTTTCTTGGCTTCAGAGACCGCTGTCCCAAAAAGGGCATTCAACCACACTTTTGGGACCTGTGATTGGCCACCGCCTCGTCATGGCACCCACCATCAAGGGGGTCCGTTGACAATTCTGCGGCAAAAACCCATCTCCTGAAACAGCATTGGCAGCGGAACTCGTCAATAATCAGGTGTTTTCCGAGACGTTTGGATAGAAGTCTCGTTTCATTGTTGGTCTCGGTGTCGTTTGGTTTTTCCGCGACTCGTCGTTCATGGGCCGGTCGGTTGTCATGTTCTTCTCGTGGGCTCAGGGAGTCATCGTAGTCTTTCACCACTCTTTAATACTATACTACACATTCTCTTCAACGGATTCTCCGTGTTCGCTTCGGCGCCTGCTGTTTTATCAGTTCTTTCTCTCTTTCTTTTGGATATATTTGCAGTTCTCAAGGGTTGACCTCTTGAGAACGCTCTCTTCATTCATTTCAACCTCTCGACGAGGCTCAATAAACCAGGCGCTGGACGTCTTACCAACCATATCTCCTAGCGAATCTCCTCGAAAAATATCCGATATAGATATCAAACCTCGAATCAAACAAGATACAAAGCTTTCTTACCGTTTCCTTACTACATATCGTCTGCAACAACGCCAATATGGTCGACAAGATCTTTCTCTCGACGGTCGCCGCCGACGCTCTCTTCCTGAGTTCAGGTGTCATGGAGCTGGTTTTTTCGCTGGTCGTACAGAGCAAGATGAAGGACATGCCTACTGATGGCGAGGATGTTACAAGGAACTTGCTATACCAAAGATTTCCCCTGACCGCGGGTATCGTCAATGCCATTTTCATTCTCGTCACGTTTGCGTTCACCCTGCCTGGGCTCGTCATGCCCGCCCGAAGCTTTCTCAAGGTTTCGGGATATATGGTGACGGTGTGCGCGATATTCACTATGTGCGTGGCTGTGTTCCTCTGGGTTATGACGTTGAGGATGAGTGAGCAATTCTTCAATATCTACATTGAGCAAGAACCAGAGGTACAGAGCTTGATCCAGGACTCGGTACGTTTCACTGAAATCTGGCACGATGAGACCTATTAACTTGAATCCTTACAGTTTCAATGCTGTGGTTATTTCAATAGCACGGCACCGGCTTTTGTGATGGATTCGACTTGCAGCAGTCCTGCAAGTGCAGCCCTACTACGCGGCTGTGCCACATCAATCTCAAGTTTCGCAAATCTACATATCGACGGTATTTTTACTGTTCTGTTTGGAATCGTTGGTAAGTCTTAACTACCATGTCTTGCCCAACTGGGCGTCAAGGCATCATAAGTAACTAATATTCCATGCAGGTATCGATGCTATCTTCATCCTATGCATCGCATGTCTGCTCAAGGACCGCAAAGAGCGCGAACGCTACCGACATATCGATGAGAAGGCGGGATACCGACAAATTTAATACAGCACACCATACCGCATTACCTTTGATTGGTGGGCTGGACCGCGCATTCTTCTAGAAGTCACTACACCGGCATCCTTTTTTTTTTTCTTCCTCTTTTAGACGGATATGTGACAAATTCAAGCGAGTGGTTTTAATATTAATACTTTATTCCTGTTATCAATCATCAAGTGGGTGGGCGTATCATGCCGTCTGGGCCGTCCCGATCGCATCACAATTCCCAATATTGAAGTCGTTTTTTAAGGGGCCATGTGGCAAGCGATATATCTAAGTCTCATGCCGTTTTGTCATGATCGGTGACGCTATCAAATGATTCCAAACGTTGTGACACCTCCTATCCGGTTCTTTTCTCTTCGAATCTCAACCTCTTCAAACTCAAGACCCTCGCCATCCTCCATAATTCTTTCTCGATGCCAGGGCCCGACAAACATGCCCTGAGGGTCAGCATCATTCCGTATGGCGCGGAACGATTCAAGTTCTTTGCCATAGAATGCTTCAATCTCAGAGCGAGTGGTTCTAAAATTCTTGGCCCAGTGCGGTCGGCCTCCAAGGTCTTTCATCAGCCACTCAAAGGCCTCGTAGTATCGTTCGTGGCAAGGAGGATCCATTAGATAGGGGCGATAAAGTGTCGCATTGAGATACAACGTAGGTCCGTTCTCAACAGTAATATCAAGATATGGCCGTACGTTCGAGGTGAGAGTGGTGTCGCTTACGCGCACCTCGACGGGTGCGTGGACGTAAAGGCCGTCAGCAGAGAAGGGGATGTTGTGAGGAACGTAATCAGGATCATCAGGAGTCAAGTGGTTGAGCCATGAGCTGAGTCGCCGGAGGGCCTCGGGGCCCTTTTGAAGGGGGATAGCCCATTCGTTGACAAACTGGGAATACAAGCAGTTCATGAGTAGTGCTTTGCGGCTTGGTTGAACAGCTGATGATGTGGTTCCATTCCGAAAGCCATACTGCATACCGAAGACAAACCACTCAACCCATGGCAGAATTCGTGGGACGTGCTGGGCAAGATAGAGAAGATTATGATAGACATAGTAGCCGATTGAGCCATCATACCCACTCTGAGGAGGGTCGCGGTGTTCCTCATCGGTTTGCTCTGCCTGCCAGACCACTGCACGTCTTGTGTATGGGAACCACCAGACCCTAACAAATTCACTTTGTGTCCATAGGCTTCGGTTCCAAGACTCAAACATCTTATGGTCTGTGTCAATGCTCTGCTCCCACTTCAAGGTGAAAGCTGGAACTGCCTGGAAGGAAACTTCGGTGATGATACCAATAGCGCCGAGAGAAAGGAGGGCAGCTCTGAAGAGGTCCGTCTTGGTATCTTTGGAGCAAAATACTGTGGTTCCATCTGCCATTGTGACCTTCAGAGAAACAATGTCTTCGGACATCAGTCCATGGCGTAGACTGCTTCCGTGGGTACCTGTGGAGATAGCACCACTAATAGACTGCTCGTTGATGCTTCCAAGATTTGGCATCGTGAGTCCATGCTTCTCGAGCTCTTCGCAGAGTGCGTACAGTCTGATTCCACCCTCCATGGTAACAATACCTGTATCTTTGTTCACCGAGAGTACCCTATTGAAATTGTCCAGGTTGACAAGCCAGCTGGATGTGCAGGTGATATTGGAGGGTGAATGGCCACATCCAGTCGTCACTAGACGCCGACGGCATCTTCGTGCCAGGTTCACAACTTTTTCAACTTCAGGCAAAGACTCGGGCTGGATAAATAGCTCTGGGAGGGACGAAAATGTGCGCGCCCAAGTGTGGTGGACATGTTGTGGCCGAGCACGAAATGCCACGCTATCGTCGAACTTTTCCAGCTCTGCCGCCACGAGAGGGTCCATGGCTCTTCTCGATTCGCAAACGGTAGAAAATGAAGCCAAGGAATAAAAACAAGATGGTATCAAGAGGATGTCAGGGTCAAGCTAGTATATCAGAGGATGAGTGGGATGTGAATTGCTTGATGCCGAAGTGGGTGTAGTCGGATTCGATCGCTGGCAGGTGGGTCGGTATCGGAATCACAAGTCTGCTGGCACAGTGACAAGACCAGTTATATTAAGCTTATTCTTCGTTTTGTGTCATTTTGGCTTTCATATGCATAGACAGGCAAATACATCATTTTGACAAATTCTGGGGGCAAAGACACGAATTTTGTAAGTCGAAGGCAACTAAAAGCGCGCAGAAGAGCAACCGGAAGCAAAAAAAAAAAGGCCGATCATCAGAGGTCCCTGGATCGTTATGACAGGGTACTGGCGATCGCGTTTCCGACTCTGATTGGTTCTGATGCAGTTCTAGACGTCAACGATATTCACCGGCTCAGGCCGAGATGCTGTGCTTTCTAAGCGATGGCAGGGATGTTAATGGTGTCATTAAGTGTCTCTTCGCACATTTCCAGGCAGCTACCCACCCTGCAGTTCATGTTCATTACATTTCTTCATCGCGTTGATTTTGTCTCGCACCCCGAGCAATCAGCGGAATAATCAAATTAATTGGAATATGGATTGGCATAGCTATGATCGAATTGGTCAGATGAATCATTGTTGATAAGTTGTAGTATGATCATTGATTTGCTCTTGAGCACAGGTTTTTGGAAAAAACAAAATCTAAGGCCAAACCTGGTCAATGAGATATAATTCCGGTGCAGAAGGGATGCTCTCAAAGCATCTGTACTTTAAATCAACACGTCTGACCCTGGTCTATTCTTCCATCTGTCATAATAAGTAACAGTTGGCTCGATTGTAAGTACCAGAGGACAACTGGCCAAGAGCCCCTTGAGTTGGTAACTTTCATATTGATACTACATGAGTGTTCAAACCTAATACATATAGTATCCAATGACACACAATACTCGTGTAGTCAGGGATATTTCATGAAGGCCTGACAATAGAACGTCTAAGCTGGAATTGATCAAGTTTACTGGAGTCAAGTATCATGCGGCTGCTCGACGGATCTGAGAGCTTCCCTCGCCTTCAATGCTTCTCTTTGTATCATCCACTATCCCCTCTTCAAATAACCTCGCCCACTCGGCTGCTAGTAAGGCTGTATCCCAACCACCAAGCCGCGCAATACCGCCTTTGATTGCCAATTCGGCGGCGACAGAGGTGACAAGCTTACCTTCAAGACCACAAGGAACAAAACGAGCCCACGGATTAACAACGTCGGGACCATCTACCAGGACGTCGATGTTGACAGCAATACCAAGAGCTGTGACGTGTCTCCGATGATGAACTCCAATTGCTGCAATTTTACGTTCTGGTTGACCGGTGGGTGTACGAACCCAAACCCCAGGTTCATCTCGGGTTGTGTAAGTTTCCAAACCGAACAAATTTGCCAGTAGACGACGTGTAGTCGCTTCGAGATGGCTCGCATACGACATGACTGAGTAATGTGCATATAGTGGAGAGTGCATGTCTAGCACAGGCCACAAGACAAGCTGACCAGGACCATGGTATGTTGTCAAACCACCACGGCTTGTCTGTTTGACCTCGGGAATGAAGCTCTGCTCATGGACAGGGTTACGCCGACGAGGAAGAGCAACATAGAGGGGAGACTTGAAATGGGAGGTTTGCTCGGCAGTGAGGGGACGCTGCCGACGCCCAAGCGTCAGAGTTGGTGTAGGTTCAAAAGAAAGAAGATGAGGACGGGGTATGTGGCCCCTGAGTTGTTGTTCCTCGCTCAAACTCTTCCACTCGAGAAACAAAGAACGGAGTTCTTCCTGATCATTGTTGGCAGTATCATAGGGGACGAAGGCACCAGGACCCGATCCTGTGAGGTGCCGATGAACGAGAAGCTTAAGTGAAGGTAGTTCTGACGTCGGAGTGGTGTAAGTGGATGACCATCGGTTGACGAAGACATGACCGGCCGATGTCCCGGCTCCGATACGGAATGAAGTGGATTTTATGGCGGAGGACGGAAAGGCCTTCAGCCGCAAGCCGGGCGGCATTGTGGTCCGGAGGCAACCAAGCAGATTCCGTGGCAAAGAAGCCGATCACAGTGCTCGCAGCTTAGCTACGATCACTTGGGGTCAATGTGGCTTGTAATCCTGGGATGTTCAAGATCACAAACCGGGGTAACCTCCGTACGAACTCTGGCGTATACATGCGCGATATCACACGCGCCTTGGTAAGAAGTGAGTTTCTGGTGGATGATCCCGTGGGGCTAAGAAAGCCGGTGGTGGTGACGTCGGTAACACGGGGCCGAAGATCAACGGACGGAGGCCGCCGAGAGTATAATTTCGAAATCGACCTTTGCATGTGAAGTTTAGTTTTAATTGATTTTCGATATGAATGAGAACCTTGTGCATGCGTTGAAATGTTTGAGCCTCACGATTGTGGCTTAGCAGTTGAAAAATTCAAAAGTAACTACACACGACAGGCGGTCAGTTGATAGTATGTAACACCAGGTGCAGGTTGGAGCATGCAGAACTTGTACACAATGCCAGCTGAAACTAAGAAACTAACTCAAGCCTAGCTGTCTGAGACCCATACCTAGAGAGCCGAGAGCTGAAGTGCCTCGGAGCTCACCAGTCAAGCGATGGCTATGTGCAACGCCAGTGGATGAGAATTGGAAGCTCCGTAGATACTTTTCATCTGAGCTCTGAGACTGCTGGTAATACAGGAAGAAAAAAAAACAATTCAATCAACTCGACGAAGACCATGTCTCAACACTAACTCAGAATCCATAGCACAAGCGAATGCCAAGCTCTCGATCTTGATAGCTTGGCGAGCATTGGCAGTCTCAGAAGCTATCGCCCCATTCATCATCGACAATCACTTCCTTATCGTGGACGTCGCTGTCGCATCATTCATTTGTATCCCATGACATCAGGGAAGTGGTACGCTAAACCCCAAGAGCGACAAAATGGTTGCTACAGCTTTGCCCCATTGGGTAAGATGTTGTGGTGTATCTCTTCTCCATCGTTGCCCACTGTCGTCATCATTGAGCTGTCGTGCACTCGGAACTTTTCTCTAGATGCACTAGTAAGTTCCTTTCGCTTCGGGCATCGAAGGTTGCAGGCTAGACCCGTAGGAATAAGGTAGAAGCATCATCTGCTGTCCACCAGGGCAATCAATGACTCCGCTGGGACGGCTTTTAGTGTGATTCAGAGTGCTGCAGCCGGGATCAATGTGCCCTGGGTGAAAACCCGTCAAGGGTGGTAGTGCCCGGGGACCTACGTAACGCCTCGATGGGTGAGTTGAGTTGGGTTGCGTTCCTTTCTCAAGTGATAAGCCGTATGCTCGCCTCATGCATTTGCCTACGACCCCCTCCTCTCCTCTGTGAAGTCATTTATGTACCTACCTCACAGGGAACTCCTTGTCTTTCCTCAGCCGAAGGGAGAAGAAACATATTCATCACCGTCGTGCAATTCGACTAAGACAGACATCTCCCGGTCTCCACACCGACAAGCCAGTGCGTCTCCCGAGCATCACATCACCCCTAGACGCTAAGGAAAAGGCTCCAGAAACAAAAACAAGAATCCCTCCAAGAGCTAATGAACAAGGTTCATAAGGATCGTCAGTCTCCTCAGCCCAAGCCTTATTTCTCTTCCGGTTCCCTCTTCCTACTCTTATAAGATCTGTGCCATCGCCCAACAGTTCCAGACGTCTGTTCCCTATAAGCAAACTCTGGACCCTTGTCAAGAGCCACGAAATAAGACGCACGATTTCTTTAGCGGTCTTTTTAGCTGCAGCTTTTTCCTTGACGGTGATCCTGGCAGCGTGACGACATCCAATTCCCGGGGCCCCATCGCAGTAAATTAATCCTTTCGGTTCGATTTTTTGGGCAGAAGTGCTTGCAGCAACGCTTGATTTTGATCGCGGCCAGATACTGTTCAACTGGAGAATAGCATACTTTTCTACGGGAGATAGCCATGGCGAAGAGTAAGTTCTCTCCGATATCCACAAGTTTAAGCCTGGGCAGCAGGATCACACCCTCTCCTGATCCATTTGTATGGCTTTATCAACATATACCTAACATGTCGCAGACGCTCCCCTTGGCCTCGCCGGCCTGGTCCTCATCGCTGTTTCTCTCCTCTTCCTTTGGTTCATCATCCTCTCAGGCTTGACCTCTACCACGCCATTCGACAAGACGTATTTCCTCCGCGCAGACACAGGCGGTATTTCGGGTGCTCGCGAAATCACACAATGGAACTTCTTCTACATTTGCGGTGCCGGCAACAATGACTGCGATGGCGCCCGCGCTGCCCCCGTCATCGGTTACGCCTGGGACTCAAATCCACGTAATGCGCCCAGCTCGCTCGTCGGTGGCCGTGCTGGTGATACCACATCGAACAGGCAGTTCTTCTTGTGGCGGTTCGGTTGGGTCTTCATTCTCATCACTCTGTTCTTCGAGACTCTCGCCTTCTTCACTGGCTTCATTGCCTGCTGTGGCCGTCTCGGTGCTGGAATCTCTGGTATCATGTCCATGTTCGCCTTGTTCTGCTCCTCAGTTGCCATGTCCCTGATGACGTATGTTCCTCCCGTCCCTACATGATGGGATAGCTGTTTACTGACATCTCTCCTTAGTGCTACCTGGGTTCTCGCTCGCAATGCCTTTCACCGTGACGGCCGCTCGGCCTCCATTGGCCGCTATGCCTTTGGTTTTGCGTGGGCATCATGGGCCACTCTGTTTATTGCTACCATTCTCTTCTGTCTGGGCATGCGTGGTGACAAGTCCTCAGGCGGGGGCTACAGCGGCCGCTCATGGCGCCGTAGACGAAGTGTCCGCAGCAGCCATGGCCCAGGCTATGAGGGCCGCCGGGTTAAGGATGACTATTCCTAAACTGTTACCTGACAGCTGTCTGTTAGGACACATCTCAGTGACTCTTCTGATATCGGGCAGAGCTCTGAGGGATGACCACGAACAGCCGCAGTGATCGTATCCGTGACTGCCTCAATGGTCGTTCGCGCACACGACGCTATAATTTTGTACCGTCTATATTTCACCCACCATCACTCATCTGCTCACTGAGCAGTTTGGATTCATGATATGTTTGGCAGGGAGCATGGATATCTGAACGTAATGTTGAAGTTTTAAGTTGTGGGCGAGGTCTACGAGAAGCTTGCTTTCATCAACTGTCTAATAGTTATTATGAATGTATGATATTGCAACAATACAAATGCTTTTAAGTCTTGATATTGTAGAGTGTCTGTTGATACTGCCACCTGGCACCACGTAAACATTGCGAGCTAACAACCCCAAGTTTCACGGCGAGAAAAAAAAATTAAAATTTTTTTCACGCTTCAGTAATCTCTGCTACTACAGCAAAGACAAGTCATGTTGTTATCCTATGCATTGACGAGTTATCTCATACTACAAAGTTCAAATCATTATGCATGTACCATATTGACGTTATTCGTCCGTTCGCCAAACCTTGAAATGCGTATTTCCCCTATCCTAACTCTCGTTAAGCGATTGAAGTCCGAAGTCACCTCCAAAGCCCTCTCTTTTATCCTGTGTTGTTCGCCGCTTTCCTTTTCCCTCATGTACATGAAATGAAAAAACAACATGCTATCCTGGTTCGTTTTCCAACTTGGTGCCATTCGCCCAATTTTGTGCTTCCGAAAAACAAATGCCAAAATCCGACCCGAATTTGTCTAAACCCATCCCAAAGCGTGTACAGGAGTGTTCTCCAAGAAATGCAGAAAAAGAAGGTCAAAACGATTCAAGTTACACATGCTGATGCCTGGGGACTTTGTGTTGTGTTACTGGTGATGATAAAAGGTCGACACGTTGGAAATAGCCGTCGCATCGGTTGAGCAGATGCTTATCATATCCATAGTCGTGTAGCCAACTAGATACCTGCTCTGTTGGCTGGTTTCCTAGGAGCCCGACTCATTCCCCTCGAGAAAGGTAAAATTGGGCCGTACCGGCTTTTCAACCTTTCATGCATCCTTTGGGCTTGCCATAGGACTGACGCTGTCAAGCGGCGCGTTGTGTAGTGCTGGTTTCAAGGGTCCGTCCTCCTTCAGGCCATCTTTCTCCCGTTGTAGGACGCCATTGACCCAATCTGCCACTTCAGTATCTGCAGTTGATGAATTCAAATCAATTTTACCAACAGCCTCCGCGACCGTATCAACCCCGTCACCCTCCTCAGCTTCTTCCGTAATTGTTTGAGGCTTTGTAAATTCGATGAGCCATGGGTGTTTCAATAGCATGGCGTAGGTTGGCCGCTTCATAGGAATCTTGTGAAGACAGCTTTTCACAAAATCCTTGGCCGTGTCTGAGTAAGTGTCCTCTGGCATTGCAGGTGGTTCGCCTTCGACAATAGCCTGTAACATGTTAGTAATCCATGGCTGTGGCTTAAATCAAAAGAAGGGAGCGCCTACACTCAGTTGGCTGAAAATAGTAGAAGATACCTCTGGTGGGTAAGGATAAGCGCCCTTAGCACACTCGATGATGGTCAGGCCCAAACTCCAGACATCGCTCTGAACGCTGTACGACCCATCGGAATTACCAGCTTGTGCGAAGCCACCACCAGAGATTCTTTCGGGGGCCATATAGCTCTGACAGCCGATGTTGGTTCGCGCTATACTGGCTACCAGATTACCACTGACACCAAAATCGCAAATTTTAACCTGGCCGCGTGTATTGACCAAGATGTTTGTCGGTTTGACATCGCGATGAATAATGCTATGCTCCTCTTTCAGAGATTTGAGACCCATCACTGTAGAGTATGTGATTTTTCGAAGAACGTTCTCAGGGATTCCACCATTATACAGCTTATCGATGGAACCGCCATCCATATACTCAATGCACATGTAGACAGCACCCTCCTGGAAGAAGGCGCCGTAAAAGTCGATGATATAGGGAGAAACACACTCGTGTAAGATGACAAGCTCTTTCAGAATGGTTGTGAATTTGGCGTCGTCGAGTTCCAGGCGCATTTCTTTCATCGCCATGACTGTGCCCGTTGTACCGTCGGTCGTGTCTGGTGAGCCTTCGGCGTAGTCTTCCGCAGATCTAATGGGAGAAGGGTCCGACTGCGAATACTGAACAGGAAGGGGCTTTCTCGAGAGGCCTTGTCCGAAGCGAGGGACTCGTCGCTTGGCATGCTTGACCTTGTAGACTGTTCCATAGTTTCCTTTACCCAGCTCGGTCAAGACTTCAACTTCGTCAAGAGATATGCTGAAGGTTTGGCCATTGGCAAAGTTGACACCTGTCCGTGTGATTGTGGCAGCGCCATCAAAGGTCACCCAGCCCTTCTCCGTGTCGATGTATTTCTTGAAATCGTCCATTTTTGACCCTTGACCACCGCCTGTTCCGTTGGGTTGTTGACTACTTGGTGCATCACCTGTGATATCAGAAAGCTTTCCAGGAGGCCCCCGTTTCTTACCAGTGGCGGTGACAGGGCTAGGTCCACCCATATCAGACAGCTTCATGCCCATGCCGCCGCCCATCTTGGCCCTTCTCTCACTCAGCGAGGGCTTCGTTATCGCAGGAGCTGAATTGACATGGGGTGCGTGCGGTCGTTGCATATTGGGCGGCATTCGCAGGTTGGCAGGGAATCCGTTAGCGACGCTGGCCGTAGGCGACGACCCCGAAGGTGTTCCGGGGTTTCCAGCGGGAGACATGCCCTTCTGCATGCGTTGTTGATGCAATGCTCGGGCTTTGGCCATTATACTGTTTTCCACTGAGGCACTACTACTTCCAGCAAAACTGGAGGATGTTTGCACAGGGCGTCTGGCCATGCCCAAAACACCCATAGCAGTTGAGTTCGGGTTCATGTTACGAGGATCGGAGACGGAGCGTAGAGATGGCACTCTTCGAGGAGGCTCACTGGGGCTATCATGACCGGGAGATTCGAGCGGCGTACTGGGTTCTGACGAATCTTCAGAGCCTGGAGATGCAGGTGTTGACAAATCTTTCCAGTCCTCCGGCGTGGCCGGGATCGAGTCGGAGGCGGACATGGGATATGAGGTGTGTTGATGGAATCAAGGTAGAGAAAGGCTAGTTCTTCTGGTTATTTCGTTGAACAGGTCAGAGAGTGGCAGGAAGAGAAATACTGGTCAGAAAATTCAGAGCGGCGTGGAAATAACGGCGAATATCCTGACAATACCGCGGGGAGCTATCGATCGGGAGACGGGACGCGATCGATTAGATGGGTACAAGAAGGAGCGATGGAGGGGAAATAGATGGTGCGATTCTTTCGGAGCTAAATGGAGTCAAGCAGCGGGCGGTCTAGGCCTTTGGAACTCTAGTACGGCTCAACGACTAGGGCCTCTCGTAGTTGGGAAAGAAGAGCTACAACAGCCTGGGGGTAACGAATGAGCCAAAATAAACGCAAGTCCTGATAACGTTGATATCGGGATTGATGGCTTTGAAAGGGGCTTGTTTTGTGCTATGTTGCAATCGATATGTGGCCACAGTACAGTATGACAACATGGAAAGCTTCACGTTGAAGTCCTTTCAAGTATACCTAGGCTCCCAGATTCGCTGAACGGAAGTGATAAATATGAAAGCTCACAGGCCCCATACAAAATATTGGAAGTTCAATTGATAACTGCGACAAAAGTTGTTAGAATAAGAAATGTGCTTCTCAGAGCTTGTTGTGGCAAGTACATGGTACTCAAGGATATGAGGATAATCTCAAGGCTGTATACACACATACCGGAGGAAGCGTCTGGCTGCGATCAAGAAAAAGTGATGAAGTGTTTCTTTCAGTTCTTGAGTAGGTAAGGTAGATACCACATGCACCAACGTAGTAGTATGATGGGCAATGGCTGGATGCGGGGTCAAAGGCTCTGCAGACAAACAGAAAAGTAACGGGAAGGAGGAGAGAAAGTGCTAATGAATTGTACAAATCGACAGATCAAGCTGGTATGAGCAACCCTGCGAGGCAGTACTTTGATAAGCTAAGGTAGGCACAGGCGGTATCTGTGGTAAACGGGGAGGCTGAGGATGCTGGTGATATGGAGTTTTAGACAGAACATGGAACGATTATGGTGTGGCGGTTTTGAACCAGCAAAATCAGGTCGTGGCACACAACGGAGTGCTCCCGTCTGGCTTGGATATAATGCCACTGAAAATCCCGTCTTCAGGGGCCAACCCGGCCAGCCATTCATGCCCGGGAACTGACCCAACCTAATGGATCATTCAGTGACATATTGCCTAGCAATTGAAGGAGTTCCCTGTGGCAGCGCTACAGGGACCCATCTTACAGGGCATAAATATGCGCTAACATCACTTTACCAGAAATTGTACCAAAATTCTATCATAGGTGATGTTGGAAGTCTATCAAAATAAAATGGAACATGCCTATTGGCGTCATGATGACAGCATTTTATATCACTGTCAATATTAAGGCCTCTTTTGATATTATACCTCAAATAGAAGCAATATGCAATATTAAATTGATAATGAATTTCAAGGCTCTGTGCACAGGTTGTCCTTGATTTTTGCAATTTGCGACGCCATCGTCGATGGAGAGCTGTCACCGATGACGTTAATGTGGTCAATGTCATACCTTGGTTCGATGTGGAGACTCACATCTGTACCAAAAAGTAAAGAGCGTCAAAGGCGACAATAATACACAAGCATATGAATACTCTATCCAACATGCACATGCAAGACGTATGCTGTTGGAGGGCTTGTGGTCGTCTGCATCCTCTTATTAAACACCTTAAAATCAACAACTACAAAGGTAGCTACTAGGTATTTATAAATCCCTGATGGCACATCGAAAATACCAAGTCACCCTGTGTAGACCTTTCCGTTGTCTGTGGCCCAGGATAGCTACTATACCTACCTACCTAGGTACCTACCCTGCCTAAGGTAAGTATCAAGATACCTCACCTTTACCTGTATATGGGGACATCAATACGCGTTTTCGACCAGGAATCAACCGCCAAGATGCTGAAGTTGAACCATATACTTGAACCAGATGTTCGCCGTTAATCCTATCAGTATCGAGAAAA